TCCCTCGAGATCCATTCAGAACTCTGCTCAAGTCACCTCCCGAGAGGCCGTCAATGCACGCCATGCCTTAACTCTCCGTCTTCCTTTTCCTGCGTGTGACTATCGCACTCCCTGATGTACACGGGAACCAACGGTTTCTGTAACATGTCTCTCCTAGCAGAGAGAGCGCTGTGGGGAGAGCTGAGGCCTGAGGCACAGGCTGGCACACCACACATACGTGCTGGATGAAGGCCTGAACTCTGCGAGCTCCTTAGAACACAGCTACATAGCCCAACAACCCCTGCCCCATCTAACACGTTCAGGACTCAGAGCCCCACCCCGATATTCAAGGCCTTCCTTGACTCCCCTCTCGAAGCACTCCACATGCCATCTGGAATGGCAGGCTTCATGTTTGCATAAGGACTGTGAAGTCTGCCCTTCTGCAACCAAACCTGCACCCCCAAAGCCAACTCACCCACCTTGCATTCCTCCCATTGCCTGCGCCTCCCTCTACCTGACAGGAGCTCCCAAAGAAGCTTTTCCTGAGGAAGCTCCCCCCTCCCATCCAGCACTCAGCCAGCCACGAGCCTTCCCTCCTCTGTGCCTCCCTGAGGCTGCAGCGAGGGGAGCATGGCTCCAGGGCTGGCACAGAGCCCACACTGCCCTGCCTGGAATCCATGGTTAGTAAATATTTGCTGGATGATGACCATTGGGATATAAGTGCTCCTGGCACCTGCACGTCACTAGGCCCACTACAGTGGGGGACTCAGGGGTGGGTATCAGAGGCCAAAATCACCTTAGGGTGGGATGCTCCAGCCTCAGTGGGCCGGCGGCACGACTTCCTGCAACATCCCCAGCAGACCAGAGCTGCTTCTGCAGACCAGGCAGGCACAGAAACGAGGAGCACACAGCTGCCCCATGCAAAGGCAGGTCCACGTGAGCCAGATCAACCCAATTTTTCAAATAGGGCAGGAAGCCCATCCATGCCATTTCAGGTGTTGGTCATCAATTCGGAACTACCAGTGGGACACGCCAATCCCAGCAGTCCGTGTCCCCCCGCCTACCTGTTCCAGAATCTACACTTTGCTCTTCCCCCTTCAGTTCTTATGAGGTGACTTCAACATGTTTGCAAAAAAAAAAGAAAGAAAAAACGAACTAAAGTATGAGTCTATTTTGGTGCAAGAAACCTGATAGCCTCACACAGCTTTTCCATAACACATATTTTCCACGAACTTTCTGAAGACCCTGCAACCCGGTATTCACAAACACCTCCTGAGCGCCTGCAGCGTGCCCGGGAATGAGCTACTGCTCGTTCTATCTGTAACCCCTGAAGCCAGGGCTGGCTGTGCCTGCAAGGCCATGGCCTGGGCTTGTCCTTACCTTCATTGTGCTGAGCTCTTCTCCTCTCATCTCGGGGTGTTCTGGTTCCATCAATTTTTCTAGAAGCAGGGGGATGGGGGGAAAATGGGCATATATTATTTTATGCCCCATTTAGTCAAACGTTTATCACTGGTCAAGATTGAAAGTTATTTTTGCAAGATAAATCCATGTGCAGAAAATAAATGGTATTTTCTTTATGTACTCCAGAGAAGCAGAAATGGACTCCAAAAACCCACCACAAGCCTGCTGCATGCTGGAACTGCCCAGATCCCTTTCCAGAAAAACCTCCCTTCCTTTGGTCTCAATATGACACCCTCCCAGGGCCCTCTGTTCCTAAGACCAAGTCTCCTGCACATACGGGGAGTAGGGGTGTGTCCGGGGTGCAATCGTCCTCTGTGTTCCTGTCTGGAGCACATCTTGGGGTGTCATCATGACATAGAACTGGCCTGCAGGGAAAGCAGGGATTAATGCAGAAACTGGGGACAGGGTCAGAAGTGGTGGTGGGGCTTCCCTCCCTGCTAGGCCTGTTCACTCCCAACTTCCTCCCAACTCCTTCCTCCTCTTACCTCCAGCCTGCAAACTCTGGTCTGTGGTCTGCACAGACACAGCCGTGGTATCCCCCACACTGGACGCTGGGAAATAGGCAAATCGTGCCTCCCCACTGACAGCCTCAGCTGCAGGGCTGCCACCATTACTGAAGGGATTTTGGATTACAGCCTGGGGAGAAGGAAAACACAGAGGCCACTCTTAGCCCTATCTGTTCCCCCATCCCATCCCCTTAGTGCTGTGTTTGATGATTCCTGCAGTCCATGTGCCTGTGAAAAACCCTACTGTGTACAGCACTCTGCTTGGGTCTCAGGCAGCCCCAGGAGTTGGCATGTACTCAGCACTCACTGACAGTTACCCATTCTTAGAGACCTTCCTGTTATCTTCATCCACATTTTATAGGGAAAAAATGTCCCTCAAAATCTTCTCAAGGTTTCTTTGTACGAGAATGGAGATATGACCCTAAGCAGCAATTGGGTCCCACCTGCCCCTCCCCCTAGGGCATGTCAAGGTGGAGCCAACATCCCTTCTCCATCCCCCCCTATGAGTTGCTGGACACCTACCAGAGGGAAGGGCGCTGCGGGACCTGGGGGCACAGAGGCAGTGGTGGGACCTGGGCGCTGGGTGGCTCCGTCCACACCCACTTGGGTCACAGCCTGCTGCCCCCCCGCGAAGGCAGCC